TCGGTGCACGCCTGGGATCCGAACCCGGGCTGCCAGTAGGGGAGCGCGCGCACTTAACCACTAAGCCGTGGGGCCAGCCCAGAAGTTTAATACTTGAATAGTACTTAATCTTCAACATTACTAGATACATCTTTCTTTACATATGCAGTTATTGTTGCAATAGAATACCAAGCTTCCACCTTAACTACTCTTCATTTTATGTACACAGCTTAGCCTCACTCACACGTGTACTTTATATTGTTTGAGTTAGATGCGAATCTGTCCATTGTGCTACTTGGTATTTCTAGTTGTTTAAGAGTAATTACTGAATTTTAATTTCAAATTTTCCTTAAGTACTTTTGATTGTCTACTACTCACCTAACTCTATGCTAGTACAGTTATAATTAAAGAAATTCTGCTTTTATTTTTTAAAAATCAGTTATTCATAAGCGTTGGAACATAATATAAACAAAACCTTTATTTCAAGATAAAAAGTGAACACTGAAAATTATATATGATTGTGATTTTTAAAAACATTTATTTATATTTAAGGGTAATACGTCAGGCACATTAATCTAAAACGTAGTTATGATGGTATATGTTCAAGTAATCTAGATCAGTGTGCGCTGTGGTACATTTCAGTTTACAAAATGTTTTCACAGCATTAGCTCATTTTATCCTTATATGACCGAATAAGAGACCACTTCTATCCTGTCCGTGTGTTTTTTTTTTTAATTCAATTTTTTTTATTATGGTAAAACACCATATATAAAATTTACCATCTTAACTATTTCTAAATCTCCACTTCAATGCTATTAAATATATTCATAATGTTGTGCAACCATCACCACCATCCATCTGCATAACTCTTTTCATCTTGTAAAATTGAAACTCTATACCCATTAAACACTAACTCCTCATTCTTCCTACCCCCAGTCCTTAACAACCACCACTCTACTTTCTGTCTCTATGATTTTGACTATTCTAAGTATCTCATATAAGTGGAATCATACAATACTTGTCTTTTTGTAACTGTGTTATTTCACTTAGCATAATGTTCTTCAGGTTCATCCATGTTGTAGCGTGTGTCAGAATTTCCTTCCTTTTGAAGGCTGACTATTATTCCATTGTATGTATATACCACATTTTGCTTATCCATTCATCTGTCAATGGACAGAGGGACTTGAGTGGCTTCCAAGTCTTAGCTATTGTGAATAATGCTGCTGTAAACATGGGTGTACAAGTATCTATTCATGTCCCTTCTTGCAGTTCTTTTGGGTATATACCCAGAAATGGAATTGCTGGATTATATGGTGATTCTATTTTTAATTTTTTGAGGAACCTCCGTACTATTTTCCGTAGCAGCTGTACCATTTTACGTTCCCATCAACAGTGCACAAAGGTTCCAATTTCTCCCCTTGCCAACACTTCTTTTCTTTCTTTCTTTCTTTTTTTTTTTTTTTTGATGGTAGCCATCCTAATGGCTATGAGGTGATATCGATCTCATTGTGGTTTTGATTTGTATTTCTCTAATGATTAGTGATCCTGAACATCTTTTCATATGCGTATTGGCCACTTGTCTATCTTTGGAGAAATGTCCATTCAAATCCTTAGCCCATTGTTGCATTGAGTTGCTTTTAATGTTCATGAAGTCCAATTTGACTATTTTGTTGTTGTCTGTGCCTTTAGTGTCATATCCAAGAAATCATTGCCAAGTCCAGTGTCATGGAGCCTTTGCCCTACATTTTCTTCTAAGAGTTTTATAGTTTTAGGATTTACATTTAGGTCCTTGATCCATTTTGAGTTAATTTTTGTATATATTAGGTTAGGTTAAGGATCCAACTTCACTCTTTTGCATGTGGATATCTAGTTTTCCCAGCACCGTTTGTTGAAAAGACTATCTTTTTGCCATTGAATGGTCTTGGCACTCTTGTCAAAAATCATTTGACCATATATATGCAAGGTTATTTCTAGGTTCTCCATTCTATTCCATTGATCTATATATCTGTCTTTATGCCAATACCACACTGTTTTATTACTGTAGCTTTGTAGTAAGTTTTGAAATCTGGAAGCATGAGTCCTCCAGTTTTGTTCTTCTTTTTCTAGATTGTTTTGGCTATTTGGGGTCCCTTGAGATTCCACATGAATTTTAGGATAGATTTTTGTATTTCTGCAAAAAATTTTTGGAATTTTGATAGGGATTGCATTGAATCTGTAGGTTGCTTTGGGTAATATTGACATCTTAACAGTATTAAGTCTTCCAGTCCATGAACATGGGGTCTGTTTCCATTTATTTGTGTCGTCTTTAATTTCTTTCAGCAATATTTTGTAGTTTTCATTGTACAAGTCTTTCACCTTCTTAGTTAATTCCTAAGTATTTTATTCTTTTTGATACTATTATAAATGAAGTTGTTTTCATGATTTCCTTTTCAGATTGTTTGTCGTTAGTGTATAGAAATGCAACTGATTTTTGTGTGTTGACTTTGTGTCTTACTACTTTGCTGAATTCGTTTATTAGCTCTAATGGTTTATTTTTGGAATCTTTAGGGTTGTCTACATATAAGATCATATCATCTACAAACGGAGATAATTTTACCTCTTCCTTTCCAATTTGGATGCCTTTTATTTTTTTTTCTTGAGTAATTGCTCTGGCTAGAACTTCCAGTACTGTGTTGAATAGAAGTGGCCAAAGTGGGCATCCTTGTCTTGATCCTGAACTTAGAGGAAAAGCTTTCAGTATTTCACCATTAAGTATCATATTTGCTGTGGGTTTTCATATATGGCTGCTGTCCATCTGTTTTACAGATGAGGAGACAGGCTCAGAAAAGTAACCTGCTTATCTGAGGTCACACAGCTAGTTTATGGTAGATCCAGAACTGGAAGCAGGGTCAGTTGACTGCAGATATTGTCTCCTGTCATCTATATAACCATTCTCAAGTAAGGTGAAGGAGTGCTCCTGAGGAGCGCAGGGATGGAATTAGAGCTAGCACAAGGAGAAACTGCATAACCTTCTACCTGTCTAACCTATGTAGCAGATCTTGGCAATCTCCCTGTTTTTTGAATGTCTGTGATATTTTGAACATGTCAACCATATATATATCATGTGGAAAAGCATGTCAAAAACCAATACATTATATGTACTTTGTTGTCTCTGAGTATCTATCCTTAAATAAGAATTTTTTTAGGTTAATTTGAACATTTATCACCAAGATATGTGTTTTAGATCAGTAACCCACTTTGAGGAATCCAAATACCAATTTGATTATAAATACAGTAGTGTGTTTAACTATAGAAACTATAGCTATACGTGACGTAACAAACCATGTTTTCTCCTAAAAGACTTTAACTTCTTGGCACTAGCAGTGTTGGATGCTTCTGCTTCCCTTGAGGCTGTGCTGGGAAATTCTCCTGTTACTACCAACAACAAAGTTTCAGCCACCAACAAAGACTGAAAAATCTCTAGAGTTTGTTATAAAAACAGTGTAGAGTTAGAACACTGTTGAAATTTTTGGAGGGAAGAAATAAATCAAATTATTTATTTCTAAAATGCTTATATCCGAAGCTACTCAAAAACACAGTTGGCTATACTTAATGAGTCAAACAGAGAATTCAATTCTTTTTTTAAAAGGGTTGAAAGTATTGAAATCACTAGTCACAATCTTTAGCTCAGGCACAATTTTTCATTCACTTTCCTTCCAGCAAGGTCAGGTTAAGAATGAACTACACAGTCTGAAGCAGATTATGTTTAGGTTGTTGTAACTGAATGAGCAACTGCGTGGACGTGCCTGGGCAAGGGCTCCAGAGAGGCTACTTTCAGATCTTCAAGCCAACTTCCACTGACTTCAGATTACCTCAGGTCTGAGAGTCTTATCATCTGCTTTATCATTTCAGTATAAGTACAGTATAGCTGTGTTTCTTTATGAAATGGGAGCTGAGAAGAATTAAATAAGCTGAAAATAATAGGGGGTATATATAAATAAGTGATCTAAGGAGGAAGAAAGAAAATTATTAGAATCATGTGTATGATTTACCCAACTTTGTGCCTTTACCTTTTTTTAATGGTGTTAAATGCCCACAATCTATATTTATACTCTGTTAACTGTCAGAAAAAAATTGAGAGGGAGGGGTAGTACATAGGGATATTTATTTGGTTGTTACTTCCTATTATTTTTCTTTTTCTGTTTTGGCTTTAGTGAATCTAAATTGAAAAAGCACTAGGTAGCAGAATTCTGATAGCTAGTATACAAAGATCAAATCTTAGTCTGAAGTGGAAAGGTCTAGTATGTCTTATTTTTAGTTATTGAAGTTACACAATGAAGAAGAAAATTCAGTGACCTAATGGAAACTTCTAGAAACATCGAAACAAGGCTATACTACCTCCTTAAGTCTCAGACCCTTTTTGAAGAGTCAGAGGTTGTTTTGGCCTCTGCGTCTGCCTGTTAGAGAAGGGTAAGAACATGGCTCAGAATTCCAGAAATGCAGGGATCTCTCACTCGTCTCTGTTTCCCCATGCTCAGCACAATTATCTAGCACGTGGACTCTCAGGAAGTGCTTGTTAAATAAACAAATGAATACCTTGCAACAGTCGTCTTTGTACTCTGAAGAGACTTAATAACCCGGGGATTCATATCTGAGCTTTTCTAATTGAGTCTGGAAAATATGGAGGAAAACACTGCCTGTCAGAATAAATGTTCATCATAGCTGCTGGAGCATTGCTGCTTTTTTGAGAATTGACTAAAGAATGAAAGAATGCATTCTTGTATTTTTATACTCTAAGAGCAGTGTTTTGCTACTGAGGATTTTTCAATTTACAATGTGAGGTAGAAGAGGAAAGTAAGGCCCTTTCAAGTGTCACTAAATATATATAATCGCACAAGTCGCTTCACATACCAAACCAACTCAAAGAATTAAATGAAAGGAGCCACTTCTATTTACTAATATTGGTAAATAGAACTTGAAACTAGTCGAGAATGACACAGTTAGCTCTAATTATATAAGCATCTTCTGTCTACCAGAATGCAAATACTTCACATGTATTCTCTTGCTTTTTATGTTGACGTTTTAAAAAATCTTTCTTGGTCTCTAATGGCAGCGATTTTCTATTTTCTCATACAGATGGATCTTCTGTTAAATATCATTATGGAAGTTAAGGACATTTGATTTGTATTTTAGGTGAAATACACTGTTATTCTTGCAATACAGCCCTGAGAGGTCAAAATTGTCACTTCAGTTTAACCTGGGACTTCTCTAATAAAATAATAGTAATAAATAGTAATAATAACAATAATAATGGTGGCTACCCACTGTGTGCCTGAAACTGTGCACGGCTCTGAACCTACGTGAAACTAAGCATAAAAATACAGCATACTCAGTCACATTAGGGTTTTTGTTCCACAAGTGTTTTGAGGGAGGCATCTGTTTTCTTGCATCTGTGCCTATTTTCAATCAGATCCATCTTTTCATCTGTGAAAAATGACAGGGACTACTTGGTACTATATTTCACAGGTTTTGTGGCCTGAAAATCATGAGCCTGTCTGACCTCTTAACAATTCAAGAATTATATGAGTGAAAAATGCTTTTCTTCAAGTTTCTTTCTTTATATAAGAAACTGTCCTTTAGCTCTAAATTTAATTAACTGAGACTAGTCTAATCACTGAGAGATGTGATACCTAATAATTCCAAGGCTCAGCCTTAGTTTTGACAGCATTCCTGTCAGATTCACTTCTATGGTTTAGCCACGAAAAGGAGGACAGATTGCTTTTAAGTTACTTGGATGACTTGAAACCAGAACTCTTTATTAACTGCTGTTCCCAAGATATACGTTGCATACCTCTGGAGGTAAGATTGAGAACATTTACTGATTCTCCTTTGATACTGTTGGGGAAGAGGTAGAATCCCCCTCCACCCTTTCCCTTAAGGTTATTATGGCTGGCCAAATAATGAAGAGACAGGTGAGCAGGAGAAAATAATACCAAGTTTTATAACACGTATACATGGGAGAAACCAGGGAAACTGAGTTTCTCGACACAATAGCGGCGATTCTCATCTTAAATACCATCTTCAGCTAAAAACAAAGGAGGATGTTGTAGGGGGGTGGTTTGGGATTTCAGAGAGGAAGAAGACAATTCACATGGAGAGGGAAATGTAAATGTTTGGCAGGCAGTTCTTTGCAGGGCCACCTATAGAGAACGAGGCCGGAGAGAGAAATTATAGTAATCAAGAGTATGTAGACTTAAGTCTTCTCCTTCCGTCCTGATAAGAGTTTCCACAGATAATGTCATGCCCCCCTCTTCCCAGTACACAGAGGGAGATACCTTTACAAATGTAAATATTTGGTAAACAGAACTTTGAAAAGAATGGGCTTAGCACGGACCCTGCCAGTCTGTCCATACCCAGAGTTAAATTCCTTTAGGAATTTAGCCTCCCCAGTTAGTGGGGGAGGTCAGATGTCCGTCAGAGAAAATAATCAAGGTAAAGAGATATATTTTGGGGTGGCCAAATTTTGATCTCCCACAATACTGATCAAAACCTTAGGGATTTGCCTTGTTCCCTGAAACCCAGGTGATATTTTTGTTAGGTCTATTTTTGTTAAGTGCTTAGAAAAATGACCATTTTCTCCCATCAGAGACCAATTACTAGAATAACCTAAAAACTTAAAAATTTTTCTTAGACTTTTATCTTTCAGTTTATTCCACCTTGTGTTTTAAAATTGTTTGGGGAGGTGAGGCTGTCCCCAAAATTATCTCTGTTTAACACCCTTAGATTCTCCTCACCTTAATTTTTTTTCTTTTTCCTTTGGACGCTACTTGTTGTCTTGTACTCAGAGGACACCCCAAAGAAGGGTTGCCTCTCCATTTACCTATATCAGTGGTTTTAATTGACCAGATGGATTGAGATTTGTTTCTACACAACTGCTTGGCACATTACATTTTCTCTCTGTTTCATCGTAGTTTTCAAGTTTACTGACTTTTTACCCAGTTTGGTTTCTTGCTAAGGGATGTCAGGGTTTAATGAATTATTCCTTTTTCCTCACAGATATGATATGCTTTTACTGTGTAGGAAATGGAATTCTTAACGTGGTTTATGATGGCTGTATTTGACTTCCCAAACAATGATGGAGCATTTTCGTGTTCATTCTCTGCTTTGTTAAATGTGTGCTTTTTTTGTATTTTAACATTCTCTCTGTCTTATTGATGTTAGTGTGTTTCTTTTGTGAGTTGGAACTTCTTGCCCATGTTTCTAAGCTGTCTAAATTCTGAATCTTTTAGTTCTTGTTGATAGGACTACGTGTTTACTCTGTACATTTAATTAATGTGTTACTTCCTCTTTGCATATTAATGGCAGCATCTAGAAAGGCTAGGCAGAATGTTTGATTTTTCTTCATATTTTTGCTACTCTTAATGTTCAGTGAAAATGTTGAAGTATAACAAGCATGATTTTGATTATAAACCTTCCTCATATTGTAAAATTTTGACTATTTACTAGCAAATTAAATGACATGAGAGATATATTTAATGTCCCTAATATTGATGTTTCTGAATCGTAGATCAATGTCTTATCATCTCTCTCTTTTGTCTTCTAGGGTTATGATCATAGCTACTACTTCATTGCAACCTTTATTACTGATCACATCAGACATCATGCAAAGTACCTGAATGCATGAAAAACTTGAGATAAGAGAATCTCTTCAAGATTATGAAATTGTAATAAACAGAATTGCAGGGGGAAAAGATTTCAAAACATTGGATTTCATAATGCTAAAAATGCTTCATTCAATAGTTGAATCACCTTCTGATATGTAAAACCTAATTCTGATTTTAAAAGTTATTTTACCAATGTTCATAAAATATTTGGTACTTTATAGCTTTTTTGAGGTCATTTGGAAATCATTGTTATATTGACCTCAAGTCATAGAATGTGAATGTAATCCCATTCAAATCATAGAGTACTAACTCTAGGACAGATGATTTAACAGTAATTTAGCCTAAACTCCTCACCTTTCAAGACTTTAGCCTATGAAGGCATGGACTGTCTTCATCATGTTCATATTTATATATATCTCGAGTATCTAGCAACTGCTTGACTTACCTAGTAGGCATTTAATAACTAGTTGTTAGTTGTTGAATAAGGAGGTAGGCTCAGGAAGGTTAAGTGAATTCCCGATTGTTATACAGTTATTTGTGGGACAGTTAAGATTAGAAGCTAGATTTCTTAAACCCAATCCAATGATATTTCTCTTATTATCTACATGGGTCTTATATATTGAGCCAAATAAAGTTATGGATGTTGTTTTATGAGCATCTCTCAGGAGGTAAGAATTAAATAATAAGATTCAATCTGACTGTAGCTAGATAAGAAAACTTGTTTCATATGTTACTGTCAACACAGATGTTTTCCTTTAGTTACATGCAGAAACTTAGCTTGATGAGCACACCAAGAGAAGTAATTTGTAAATACGAAACTGTATTCCTTTAAGAACTTAATGAACAAACTTTTGAAACAAATAAAATCTGCTTGTTTTAAAAGAAATATATTTCTCTGTTGAAGAGCACAAAGGTAATACATTTTAAGCATTCAATAAGAATGCATATGGTAATGCATACATGGTAATCAAAGAAGACATCAGGTTCTTAAAGTTATAAAATTAGTACTATTTAAATGTAAACTGGATTGTACTAAAAAATTAAAAGTACTATTTAAATATCAGTAATCAAGGTTGGGCCCTATAATGAGCTACACACAAAGTGGTTCCAGTCTGAACAGTCTTGTGTTCTCTAATAGGGAAAATTATTTATAAATTTTTTGTATGTTTTTGGTAATTCTTTTGTAAAGAAAAACAATTGTGTGGTCCTAAGATCATTGTATTAGTTGAGGATTTAATCAGAGAAGCAGAACTAGTAGGAGATATATACGTTAAGAGATTTTTTACAAGGAATTGGCTTATATGACTGTAATAAAGACAAGGCCTTCTGTTGCAACGCGGAATATATAGGAAGTCAATAAATTTGAGTCAATAAATTTCTTCCTATATATCCTGACTGTCGAGGATATATAGGAAGTCAATAAATTTGAGCTTGCTTTTCTGTGCTACAAATACTGGCCTGGGGAGGGATGAGTTCTTATATATGCCTAAATATGTAAGATGTTTTCCATAACAAAAAAAATTCTCAAAGTGTCTCATGTTATAAGGAGCCATCTCAACAACTTTATAGTAAACAACAAATAACCTAAAAATGACCTCCTCATACTAGTTTTATGTGCTTCTAAAAGTCACCTGACAGAATCAGGTGTAAAAGGAGGCAAAGGAATTGCCAGATTTCTTGGGTTATTGTAGATGTTGTAAAACCCTCTTTAAGATCCCTTTAAGAAACAATACAGTACAGTAAAGCCACCATTAAGAGTAAAAAGGCAAGCCATAATAAAGTGGGTGGAGATGTTTGCAATATATATATCTGACAAACAACGTGTATTTAGAATATATAAAGAACTCCCACAAATTCATTTAAAAAAAAAAAAAACCAGAAAAATGAGAAAAAGATTCAAATGAGTACTTCACAAAATAGGATATAAGTATGACTAATAAACATGAAAATATTCTAAGACCAGGGAAATGCTAATAAAAACTACAATAAAATGCCACAATACACCCACCTGAATGGCTAAAGTTAAGACAGCAGAAATCCCAAGTATTGGCAAGGCTATATGGTGACCTGCTAATGGGAATGTAACTGGCAGGGTCTGCTGAGATGGAACGTATGCATGCCCCTACCCAACGATTCCAACTCCAAGGTATACCCAACAGAAACATGTGTATAAAGCCTATATGAGAATGCCAATAGCAGTGCTACTCATAATAGCCAAAATCAAGAAACAACCCAAATATCCGTCTACAATAGAATGGGTAGAATTGGAGTATATTCAGACGTTGGGATATTCTACATTAATGAAAATGCACACACCATAACTAGATGTGGCAACATGGAGGGGTCTCAAATATAATCTTGAGTGAAAGAATCCAGATACAAAATTATATACTGTGTAAATTATTTTGTACCATTTGATATTCCAAGCCAAGAAGAACTCACCCATGGTGTTATAAGTCAGGATGGTGTCACCCATAGCAGGAGGAGGGCTGGGGCCCTGGGGGAGGTGATTGGAGGGCAGCATGAGAGGCCCTTTGGGGTATGAGTGATGCTCTCTTTCTTCATCTAGGTGCTTGTTACATGAGTGTGTTCACTTTGAAAATTCACCAGGCCGTACACTTAAGATTTATATACTTTTTCATGTGTGTTAAACTTCAGTGAAGTTTACATTAAAAACGTGTTAGGTATTTATGCCGTGGATATATAAATACACTGCATGAAGAAGAAAAGATCCTTATATTATACAACGGATACTTATTTGGGGGGATAAAATTTCCAGTGGCCGCATCGTTTATAGATTCAAGTAATGTATCTCACTTAGAAACCACTTAGAAGTGAGGGTGATGTGTGATGCTTCAAAAAAGTGGCTTGTGATGTCTCTAATGTTGAAGATGCAAGTGCAGAGTTTGGATAAAATCATTTCATGAAATCTTACAGTGGAAGATTCTAAGTTGACATTTTAAAAATATTTTTAATATATGTGTAATAAGCTGTGACAAGTAGACAGGAATTTTGTATTGAGTTCATAAATATATTTCAAAATAGCTAAATTTTTTTGCATATTCTCATCAGAAAAATGCAGATCTGCTATTCAAGATTGTCTTGTACTTGGGCACATTGGACATATGTAGTATATAACATAGATTACATTGGTTTATGGAACTTCTGAAACCAAAACCACTTTATTAAAACAAAAACAGCCCAGTTTTTTTTAAAAGCTTTCGGTTTAGGATTGGGTTTGAGTGAAGAAAGGAAATGCCATTGGTGGTGTTTCCACGGGGAGGATGGCAACAGCAGCAGCTAAAAAGGAATTGGCAGAGGTGGTGGAGCAAATAAAGGTGCAGCAGCAGCCACAAAAGCACACGTGACCATGAGGACAGAAGCAGCAGCTAAATTCAAGATGGCGGACGAAGTATTACAATCAAGATCAACATCTCAAAATTAATAATTTTCCTATTAGCCTGTAAATACCTAACAAAAAAGTATAAAAGGAAAATGATCCCATTCACAGCAGCAACAAAAAACAAGTACCTAGAAATAACCTGAACAAAAACTGTATAAAATCTTTACTAAAGCATTAAACAAATGAAGAGCAATATCGTATTCATGGAATGAAAGGCTCAATACTCTAGAGCTACTAATACATACCAGATTAATCTAAAGATGCAATGCAATCTTAATCAAAATCTCAATATTTTTAATGGAACTTGACAAGCTAATTATAAATATATATGGAAGAATATACCAAGACAGTTTTGAAAAAGAACAAATTGGTTTACCAGGTGTCAAGACATTATAAAGCTGTGATAATTAAAAGAGGTTTGAACTCAGAATTCTGAGTTCAATAGATCAGAGAAGTCCTGCTACAGACCCGTACAGGAATTTAGTCTATGCTATTGGTAGTGTCTCAAGTCAGTGAGGAAAGCATGGGCATTTCCATAAATGGTGCTGCAAAATTATTTTTCAGCAGCTTCATGGAGAAAGACATACAAAATGAGACCTGGGCAAGGACGTGCATTGCAGCACTGTTTGTAATAGAGAAAATATGAAAACAACCCAAGACATTTATGAAGAAAAATAAGTTACAGAATAATCCACATAATTCAATACTGTTATATTTTAAAATCATCAAAACAATATGTATATTTTCTATAGGTAGAAATAGTTCATAGGAAAAGGTCTGAATGAAAATAATGGCAGTTACCTCTGGGAAGGAGGAGAAGAGCTTCAGAATTGTGGATGATAGTCAAGGGGTTTCATTTTGATAGATAATGTCATTTCTACAAACAAGTTATTCATGTATTTTTGAGGTATAAAACATTAATTTTAAACATCAATGTTTAGTAAAAGTTGAAAGCCAGAAAGAAAAAACTAGTCCTTACACCCATCTGTGTCAAGGCCCAGACACACATCTTGCTTCTTACTTGCTTTATTTTTATACCCCTGGGAATTTAAATTCTGATTCAAAAACACTTTTTACAAAAAATAGAATTAACATACTCTATGAAGTAAGAGTTTCAGAATAAGAAAAGCTGATATGAGTCCTGCCTTCGTAAAGTATCTTGGGCAGGTCGTTACATCCTTAGAAGCCTGATTTCTAGTCTGAAAATGGTGTAGACAGGAGCCCCTGCACAATCTAACTCACAGGCTGTGGAGACAGCAGAACAAGATGCACGTAGGAAATCACGATCATGCTAGCCTGTTAACGGCCGGGTGCATTAGTACCAGTGGTTCCTAAGTGAAGCGTGCTCTTCTTAGAGGGTGCCCAAGACCATCCACTGGAGTGTGATAGAGCGTCTATGTCTGTTATTTCATCTCCTCCTGTTAAAATTATATTTTTGTGCATGCTTTATAATATATATAACATATTGGTGTAAAAATACATACAATTATATATAAAGAGTTCATATGTTGTGGATGCATGTGGCAGATGTGAGATCCCCCAAAAGTCCCCTACCACAACTTTTTGAATAAGAAAAAAGAATTTGTGAGGACCAACACACTGAATATCTGCTGTGCTGTTAATTTGTACTCTGCCTGTACCCAGGCTGGTTGGCTGTAGAAAATATCTTCCCCCTGGAGAACATAGTTTGTAAACTTCCTCACGTCCTTTGGTAGCCTTGGCCAGGCCAGGAGAAAATGTCCTTTTGGTCTTTAGAGAGAAAATAAAAGGAATCTCTACCCTGGTAGTATTTGGCCTGAGTCCAGGACTCTAATCCAAGAGTGTTGAATTTCCAATTTCATTCACATCTCTCTGACACCAGGTGTCAGCCTTCTGTCACTGGTGACAATGAGCAGATCACTTTCTGGTAATAGTAGGTAAAGAAGAGAATCTTAGCGCTTCCTCTTTGGGATGATAATGGTATATACTCAACCCCTCAAATAAATTAACATTTCCATCTCATTGGGTTTGTTAGACAAATTCAAATACCACTAAAAATGAGGCATGGAGATGGGAACTGGGTGAGGCAAGAGACTTTTTTTCTTTCAATTTATCAAGATAGTATTTTGGGCATCTGGTTTGGGTGTGTGAGAGTGTGTGTGGGGGGGGGTTAAACCTTGCATGTAGAGTTATGACATTGAGCACAGGCTGTTAGTGGATTGAAGGCATACTGCCTTTTTGATCAGTGCTGGTTAAGTAGGATTATTATTCTCAGAAGACTAAAAC